ACCTGGAAGCATATTTACCTGCTTTATATACCTGTGTTTCGTGAACGGATTATTTCATTGTTGTGCTTCATTTCTAAAAATTATTATTTTTAACTCGGTACTCAGTTTTATATTGATCATCTGAAAAAGAATTTTTCAAAAACTTTTCTGTTGTGTCCACGAGTACAGGCCACTCTTTTATAGAATCTATAATGGGTTCGAGGGTCGAATTATCGCAATTCGACGGAAAGGGGGATTACTCGATATGGAAATAGAAAATGAGGGTCATTTTGGTCCAACAGAGAGTTGCTAAAGTTCTTGATGATCCCGCTACATTTTCTGATGAGTTAAAAGCTAAAACAACTGAAATTGAAGAAATGAATGAAATTGCTTACAGTTATATAATTTTGCATCTATCTGACAATATTGTGAGACAAGTTGATAGTGCTAAAACTGCTAGAGCTTTGTGGATTGCTTTAGATGCCCTGTTCTTAACTAAAACTTTACCTAACAAAATATACCTGTTGGAGAAGTTGTTTAGTTTTAAGATGGACCCGGGGAAGGATGTCGAGGGGAATTTGAGTGACTTTAGCATAATTGTTAAGAGTCTAGCTCATAATGATAAAACATATGATGATGAGGATTTAGCTGTCATATTGTTAAACTCTTTGCCCGAATCTTACAGAGAAATGAAAAATGCCATAAAGTATGGTAGGGACACTCTCACTCAAGCTATTGTTTCTGATGCTTTAAAATCAAGAGAGCTTGAATTAAAAAGAGAGAATAGAATTCATTCTCGTGAAAAGAGTCTATTTGTTAGGGGAAGATTTGAAAAGAAAGAATTCAACTTCCATGACAAGGAGGGGAGAGGAAAATCTAAAATGAGATCCAAATCTAAAGATAAAAGCGGTAAGAAATGTTATCACTGTGGAAAGTTAGGACATTTCAAGAAAGACTGCTTTGATTGGAAAAGGAAACAAAAAGACCCGAACAATTCTGATGTTGATAATGCTGCTATTGCTACTGAATTTAATAGTTTGCATGTCATGAATGTGTTTGAAGAAGAATTTGACAAAAATTGGATTCTTGACACAGGGTGCACTTTCCATATGTGCCCTGATAGGTCTTGGTTTTATAACTATAGGGAGACTGAACCTAGGACGGTCTACATGGGAGATAATAATTCTCAAAATGTGATTGGAGTTGGTGACATAGCCATTAGGATGTACGATGGGGCCGTCACGCAACTTAGAAATGTTAGATATATCCCAAATTTAAAGACGAACCTCATTTCCTTAGGTTCTCTGGAAGATGAGGGATATACCTTCAAGTCTGGTAACAAGATTTTGAAAATTATGAAGGGTTCTCTTATAGTTATGAAGGGGCCCAAGAGGAATGAGCTGTACTATCTTGAGGGTAGAACTGAAATACCATTTGATTCTAGCCTTCTTGCTGTGAGTAAAGACAAAACTGAACTTCGGCATAACAGAATGGGTCACATTGGGTTTAAAGGTCTAAAATCTTTAAGTAATCAGAAATTACTTGGAAAAGATGACATTGAAACTATGGAATTCTGTGAAACTTGTGTTTTGGGTAAGTCTCATAAGGTGAGCTTTGAAGCTAGCTCTCATAGGACCAGCGGACCATTGGACTATGTCCATGCTGATCTATGGGGCCCAGAGAAGCACTCCACATTTGGTGGGAGCAAGTACTTCTTATCCTTAGTTGATGATTACTCAAGAAAGGTTTGGATTTATCCTTTGAAAGCTAAGTCGGAAACTTTTGGAAAATTCAGGATTTGGTTAAAGTCTGTTGAGAATCACTTAGATAAGAAACTTAAAACGTTAAGAACTGATAATGGGCTTGAATTCTGTAATAGCGAATTTGACAACTTCTGTAAGCAGAAAGATATAACAAGACACAGAACTGTTAAATACACACCTGAACAAAATGGGGTCACTGAAAGAATGAACAGGACCATAATGAACAAAGTTAGGTGTATGTTGATTAGCTCTGGTCTTGCGAAAGGTTTTTGGGCTGAAGCTGCAAGTACTGCAGCTTATCTGATTAATAGGTTTCCGTCCAGCAGTATAGGGTTTAAGACCCCACAGGAGTTGTGGACAGGAGAGCCTCCAAATCTGGAACACTTGAAGGTGTTTGGATGTGCTGCATATGCACATCAATCTGAAGGGAAACTTGAGCCCAGGGCTGTCAAGTGTGTGATGTTAGGGTATCCCGAGGGTGTGAAGGGCTATAGGTTATGGGTTTTAGGGGTCTAAGGCATTAAGATTATTAACAGCAGGAATGTAGTCTTTAATGAATCTGAGATGCCATGTCTAAAACAGAAAACCGAAGAAACTAACAAATCTGAAATTGAGAAGAGTATTCAGACTGAGGTGAAGCTGACTAGGCTAAATTCACCTACACCTAGGAATGACGAAAATGACCCTATACATCATGAAAATGAAAATGAAATTGAAATTGAACCTGAACCTGAACCTGAACCTCAACCTGAAGAGGTGACTGAACTTCAAGATAACATTGAACCAGTTGAAGTTGAACATTTTAATGATCAGCCACCTAATCAAGATTATCAGCTTACTATGGATCGGAGAAGGAGGCAAATCAGGCCAAATCCTAGATATGAATCCCTAAACTTGACTGATTTTACCTTGGTTTCAGGTGAAGCCCTTGAACAGATAGAACCTGCTAGTTATGAAGAAGCTGTTAATGGAAAATGTTCTGAAGGTTAGCTAAAAGCTATGCGGGAAGAAGTGGAATCTCTAATGGAGAATAAAACTTGGAAGTTAGTTAACAAACCTAAGGATCATAGGATAGTTCAATGTAAGTGGATTTACAAATTGAAAGAAGGATATAATCCTAGTGATCCTCCTAGGTATAAGGCCAGATTAGTGGCGAAAGGGTTCACTCAAAAGGAGGGGGTTGATTACAATGAGATATTCTCTCCTGTGATAAAGTACAAAACAATCAGACTGGTTCTTGCATTGGTTGTTCAGTACAACTGGGAACTTGAACAACTAGATGTCAAGACTGCTTTCCTATATAGGGAATTGGAAGAGGATATTTACATGAGTCAGCCTCAAGATTTTGAGGTGAAAGGTAAAACTAACTGTGTGTGCAAATTAGAAAGATCTCTCTGAAAATAGATTAGTCATTTCCCAAGAAGCCTATCTAAACAAAGTCATAACCAAATTTGGTATGAATGGATCAAAATCTGTGAACGTTCCCTTAGCAGCTCATATGAATTTTTTTGGTGCACAATCTCCTAAGACTGAGGAGGAATTTAGAGAAATGAGGAACATACCCTACGCTAATGCTATAGGTTCCGTCATGTTCTCTATGATAACAACCAGGCCTGACTTAGCCTATGCTATAAGTTTTTTGAACAGATTTATGTCAAACCCAGGAAAGCCTCATTGGGCAGGTTTGAAATGGTTGTTAAGGTACATTGTTGGTACATTAAATCTGGGTCTAGTGTATGAAAAGAGATCTGAAAAACTTACTCCAAAGGGGTATGTAGACTCTGATTTTGCTGGTGACAAGGATAGCAGAAAGTCTACCACAGCGTACTTTTTTACACTAGGTGACAATTGTATAACATGGAAGTCACAGCTGCAGCCTTTAGTTACTTTGTCAAGTACTGAGGCAGAATATGTTGCCATAACTGAGGCGGTTAAAGAATGTACTTGGTTAAAATGAATTTTAAAAGAATTGAACTTCATGCATGATACATATTGAGGTAAAGTATCATTTTATTCGTGAGAAACTGTCTCAAGGTGAAGTTAATCTTGTTAAAATTCACACTGATAGGAATCCCTCTGATATGGGAACAAAAATTCTACCTGCAAGTAAATTTAAATTGTGCTTATCTTTATTACATATTGACACTGATTAATTTTTCTTGCAGGTAGTGGGCGATGATGATGAACAGTTCTTCCATGTGCAAATTCGCAACCAAGAGAGAGTGTTAGGAGAACCAAGGTGAAGAATGTGAGAATATGGTTCACCTAACACTATCAACTTGTGACTTGATGGTATTGATGTTGACACAATAAGGTCTTCCCACGTTTTTGGCAGAGGCATGGTCTTTCCTTCTTATGTAGACTTACCCTCTACCGTTTTTGAGAGGAGCAGCTCTCGATTTTTCTCCCAGAAGAAAGTGAGCTCTCGATTTTTTAGCAAAGGGTGGTGGTTCTTCATTGGTTTTCCCCTCTCTCTTGGAAGGTAATTAGCAAGTCATGGAAGGCTGTTCCTGAGCCTGAAAAACAGCCATTAGAAGGGAAGAAAGCTGCTGCAAGTAAGGAGAAAATCTGTCCAAATTTCCGACCGAACACAGGTTGTATTTTTCCATCCCTTTTTTTTCATTGTTTTGCCTTGAATCTTGTCTATTGGTTGATTGAACTCCTAGGATCCCCAACAGTTAAACATATGAACCAAATGAGAGAGTATATCTAACCTATTTCTTCAAACAAAATGGTCCGACCCACTTCAGTTTTTTAGAAACTTACCCATTAATTAGACAATCAAAACTGGTAACTGAAGCTATAACTTGATGGGAGTTTGTTTTTATATAGATGGGTTTGGTCCATATGCTCCACCACCGAAAATACAGATTATACACCATCATTATAAAAACGTTGAGAGCGAAGACGTACCTGGAACAAAACGAGGGCTTCTTGAACAACATCAATGGCCGGAGGTATAAACTCAATCCATGAGTTTTCGTTTTCTCGATCTAATTTACTTCTGCAGAATTATTTTTGGATCGATTTTCAATCTTACATGGATCACCTCCAAAACAGTAAAGGAACCTGTTTGGGATACTTTTTATGAAAGACTTGTCCAGGATCTTCAGCAATTCGAAGCTGGTGGTTTTCCCGACTTGTAATAGGGATGATCCTGGGAAGGCTTTGAAAGATTGGGATCTGTGGGGGCCCTTCTTCTTCACTGATTTCCTCGGCCTCACTGTTTCCCGGTCGCCCTCCGTTGATAAGGTATGCTAGCTAGTATGATTAACATTTGAACGCAATGTTAGACCCTTTCGTCTGAATTCTTATTTTGCGCCGACAGTATATTTGAGGCATTATTATTTTGAACCAAAATCTCAAATATATACCACAAAATATTAAAAAAAAGGGGGCGAAAAAGAAAAAGCCCTTTGGTTTGAAATTTATCTACCATTCCCTGTCTATTGCTTGATTGACGACGTACTTCTTGGATCCAGAAAAGCATTTTCTTGCAGTCAATGACTTCAAATTCAAGTGTGGTGCACTTTACGTTCATGCAAAAGTACCTAACTAAACGAGGTTGACTATATGACCAAAATTTGTGCCAAATAAAACCAATAGAGTGAATCTAACTTTAGGCTCAATCCCACTCATTTTCATGCTTTTTTCCCCCTCTCCAGCCCCTTTCTTTAAGGATGGAAAGTCAAAATGGTAGACTCATTAGCACGATATTGCCAACTAAACACTTTGAATTCAAGAAACTTAACATTTTATTATGTTCCCATTCTTCTCCAATCTCCATTTCCATAACCCTCTGGTTCAAGTTTTCTAACCACGTTTGTTTCAACTTCCCTAAAGTTTTCAATATTACAGTCGAGATTGTAGGATTCTTTTTCTTTTTCTTTTACGTTTAAATAGTATGAAGCCAAACGGATCGAATGGGCAGCGATTCATCATTTCTTGTTTCTTCTTCATTGTATTCCTCTGTATTTTAGCATTTGTCAATGAAATTCGACTTGACAGTCTAATGAAATTTGGAAAATGTGCTTTCACTCATACTTCCCACAATTCATCTGCAGAAAATTTTCTTGTTGCAAATTTGACCACAGCAAATTCTTCTTCTGATGATATAAGAATACTCATTGGGATTTTGACACTACCTGATCACTATCATAAAAGACACTTTTTGAGGCTTATCTACGGCACGCAATCTCCGGTCGGAGGACGAGTCGATGTGAAATTCGTGTTCTGCAATCTCACTAAAGAAGATCAAACGGTGTTAGTGGCACTAGAGATCATGCGTTACGATGATATCATAATCATGAATTGTCAAGAGAATATGAACAAGGGTAAAACCTACACTTACTTTTCGAGCTTGCCGGAGATGCTAAACACCACGGATGGGCCATATCCACCGTATCATTATGTGATGAAAGGGGATGATGATGCATATTTCAGGTTACAAAGTTTAGTAGATTCCTTAAGGCCATTGCCTAGAGAAGATTTGTACTATGGATATGTTATCCCATGCCCGAGTATGGATCCATTCGTACATTACATGTCCGGTATGGGCTATTTAATTTCTTGGGATATCGTCGAATGGGTTAGGGACTCGGATATTCCAAAGAATCATTTGGAAGGACCCGAGGATAAAAATTTTGGCCAGTGGCTACGAGATGGTCGTCGGGGAAAGAACAGGTACAATGCTAAATGGTCGATGTACAATTATCCCGAGCCTCCCACGAGATGTACGCACGAACTTTGGCCGGACACCATCGCCGTTCACCTTTTGAAGACACAAGAGAAGTGGATTCGAACATTGAAGTATTTTAATGTCACTCAAAACTTGAAACCTTCTAAATTGTATCATATACCATAGGTAATCCATGTATTTATTGGGCTCTTTTTTTTGTCCATTTTACCAGCATAGGCTGATTAATTGATTATTATATAAATTTTCAAGAAATTAAATTTCCTTTTGTTGTACGCAATTCTTGTTTACTTGATATTTGCTGGAAATTAAATTCTTTTTCCTCTTGGAGCATATGATGTATACATACATAGCTTCGTAAAAACAGGCTAATAAAATATTCCAAAGCGGCATTAACTCACAATCTTCAAGCTTGATTTGGGGTAGGGGTGACAATGGATTGATTTTCATTCTGCTCAAAATCTTAGGATCTGCTCGATCATTTGGCTTGTGGGCCTCAAAATATATCCATTTACAAGTTCAACGAGCCATCATTTTTTTTAAGAATTGATTAATAAAATAAGCTTTGAAATTAGCAAATTTTTTAAGAAATTAATAATATAAGTTCAAAATTAGGGGAAAAAAGCCAATCCACAAACCCAAACAAGCTGCTTTGTGGGCTCGTACCCACAAGCACCCTAATTTGGTGTTGCATTCATCTTTACTCTTTAGAATGTGAAATCGAGAAGAACAAAAGCATGCTAAAGGGAAACTCCTAAATATATGTGCATTTTATTTTAACAAAATCATTATATTTTAGTTGGTATTTTAAAAAGCATAAAGCATGAAGAGGTGTAGAGAACAAGTTTCCAGTTAGGCGAAGAAAAATAATAATAATAATAATAATAAGTGTGAGGCTAGGCGTTTTGCGCCAGCTTTGTGCCTAGGTGTGCACCGCTTTTTAAAATGCTGATTCTAATTGTTACATAAATAATCAAATTTGGGTTTTTATTCACAATTTTCCAACATTAATATTGATAATAAAGATGATTTTTATATTATTTTATTAAATTTTTTGCACCCCTAATCCAGAACGGGATCAAATCAAATTAATTAAAAAGCATTCTTACAAACTTCTATGTTTGTCATGCAAGTCCAAGGTCTCATAACCGTTCATAGTCGATACCAATGGTCTTTCAGAAAGACGAAAAGAAATACAGTATAAATGTTTAAAGGGCGATTGAAAAAAAGTCTGCACTTTATATTCATATTAATCACTGAATGCCAAAACAAAGTCTCGTAATTACATTCTTTTATTTTTGGGGCCATGCTACATGTACACCGAGCCTTATAGCTCAGTGTACAGCCCCCTCACATGGGGGTGGGGCCCGCGCATTAAATAGGCGTGGACCCCTCCCCTCATGTGAGGAGAGTGTACAGCGAGCTGTATGGCTCGGTGTACAAGGGACATTATTCTTATTTTTGTCCCATGGTACCAATAAACCCCAAAATAATATTTTCCTATACAACCTAGACATCAATCGGAAGATGATGATGATGATGATCAAAATTACACCAAATCCATGACAAAAAAGAATAAAATGAAAAAAAAAAAAAGGTACATTTTTTACCACCAAATTTTTATACTTGTAGAGGAGATCGTTTCCTAAAACCATGTCTCCATTACAATTTTGGACACAAATGAAAAAAAATGAAATTTGTGCAGCATTTGCATGAAATTGAAATATCTTCTACTTGGGTATTCAGGGTTTTCATGAATCATAAACAAACAACAATCTTTCTTTTCCAAGAAAGTGTTTTCAAAATTTGCAGCAGATCAAGAACTGATCTCGGCCGTCTATTATGTATCATGGAGAAGCAGAATCAAAACTGTTTCCTCTATAGTACTTCAATTCCAATGAAATTTGTCTTTCGAGCTGAAGCTGCTTATGAAAATTTGCAATAAATTTGTCTGCTCTCTTATCAATATCATCTTCTGATGGATAACTTGTTGTCCTCTGAAGTTCCCTTGAAGAAGAACCCGGTTGATCACAGTTATTCGGCTCGGATTCTTCCATAAATGCCCTCAGACCGGGCCTATCATTGAAACTCAGCCTCCTCTTGCTCGATGAACGCCCGATCATCGACGCCAGTTTCCATCTGTTAACGTTTAGATTCAGTAGAAATGTTATCTTCTTCACCGCCCTCTTTAGACGGCCGATCAATGGCCACCCGCCTTCCGCCGCCATCTTGATTAATTAAATATCTATGAATTTGAATGTGTTGGTAGTTTTGTGTGGAAAGGGAATTTAAAGTTGTGTTCTTGTATTGCAAGTAAATGTGATGGAAATGGATCTAATGGGACTTTCATAGCAATATATATACACACGTAAACGGAGACCAACGTAGACTGAAAATGTAACTTTGGAGACCAAAATAATAGAAAAATGTTGATTAGGGATTCGAGTGCTTTATCTGTATAAATTGAAGACCATGATTGCAAATTTCTTTAGTTGATTGATGAAGAAAAAGGAAATTGCGTGGAAGGTTTTTTCTGGAGGAAGCGTGGGAAAAAAGACTACCGTGTTAACACGTTCAATCTGGAGGCTTAGGGAAGAATTTATTAATTTTCTTTTTTATTTTTCGATTAAGACCATGGATTAGGTCAAGGCTTGGAATAATTAAAAATATATTATTTGTAACTTTTTTTCAAAAGATTTCATTATTTACAACCACCATTTTGCCTTTAGTATTAGATTCATGGCTTCACTAGAAAAATACAATTATTTATATTTATAAATTTAAAGTTGCAAAATGCAATTTGAATTTTTCAAGAACGTCATGAGTTCATAAAGGAGGGGGTTGGAAATGGAGGAATTTCAGCCAAACATAATATAGTGAATGGGTCGAAATAGATAGGAAGAGTTTACCAAAGATCGAAGTTTACCAAAGATCGATAAATTCAAAGATTTTATAGGGCATTTTTTCTTGTTCTTTAGTTCTTTTGATACAAATAAAAAGGTTGACATCATATAATTTTATGCTGTGGTTGCAAGAATTTCATTTGAAGGTGCAAGGTGAACTCACATATATCATATTTTCTCAATCCAAATTAAAAATTAAATTGCTAACGGAGAAATAATAAATTTTTAATTTTCGAAACTCATTGCTTTCAAGCAAATAAACAATTTTTTTGAATTTAATTGTTATAGGGGAGGTCAATTTATTTCACTTAAAACACGTCTACATTTACCATATATCATTCACTTATTTTTATAATTTATAATAAATACAAGAAGTAGAAATAAACAAAAAAAAAAATTTATTTTAATTTGACAATGGTATATAAATTGTATGAGTGAATTACAAACGACTTGAAAGTTTACAAACATGATCCGTACATAGGTTTAGCCCCTTTTTGGTTGACCTAAATATCACTTTTTGAGTAGATTTAAAAAAAAAATGATAAAATGTGTAGTTAAACCATTAATATAAATTACGGGGCAGTAAAATGTGTGGTTGAAAAAATATTTTAAATAATGAGAGTTGAACGTGGAGTTAATTTTAGAAAACACTGTAGTGAAGGTTCCAAATCTTTCAAATTACTGCGGAATGCACTTTAATCTTTTATTTTTATGATTGTGGTCTCGAACGTTTCTCTTTAACGATAGCTAGAGTCCATGGGATAGATCCATCCCTTATTTCGTCTACAGACGAACAGTAAAGATCAGCAACTCTTTTTCACCAAGTAACTTAACCAAATTCATAAATCAGCATCAATTACTAACCAAAATAATGCCTCACTTAATCTCTTCATTTAAAGCCTATAAAGATACCTCATTTGCTCATGATATCTCAACATCTTCATGGGATTATTCAATACAAATCTATTAAACAAATCAAGACCCGCATAATCTAGAAAGCTTACTTTACAATGTTCATATTTCCTCATCTTTGCAAATATTATACTATAATGAAGTAGCCGTATAGTGAAACATTTAGAACTCTCCCCGAAAAAAAATAATAAAAAATTAAGGTTTCAAATACGAGCATAATAAGTAGAATCACATTGAATTCATAACATTAACAAAAGCACATCATATGAGTCCGACTATATGATGAAATAGAGAAAATAAGCCCATATTTTAGTACAATACTGTAGCGACACAAGTAAAAACTATATTCAAATATGGTGACCATGTACAAAAACATAATGTCATGTTCAAAGCACATGCTTTGCCCATAAGCATCGAACATTTATGCAAAATTGTTCAATAAAATTTGTCAAAAAAAGGGAATAGTAAAACTGAAAAACTCATTATAAACAGGTTCGATAAGGGATCCTCTCAGATGACAAGCTATGTCTATTAAATTTTCTTCACAATTGTGAGTTTCTTGGGCATCCATTGTAGAATGGGAGAGAATGGTTTAGAGTTCTGCTTCTTGTTCAAAAAGTTGGGTATGTACAAACATAAATGATAATTTTGATTTTAAAAGTGAAATTGTTGATTCGAACATTTTTTACCCATTTAATTTGTCAATTTAAGTCAAAAATCTAATTTCATAGTTGACTAATGGAATTCTAGATGGATTCTATCTAATGGGCTCCGACTGCCGTTAAAGTGAAAGGTTTGCAACCGTTGTCGCAAAAATAGAAGGTTAAGGTGTATTCTTCAGCAAATTGAAAAGTTTAGAACTTTTACTGCAATTTTCCCTTAAAAAATTGTACCAAATAAACAAATTTAACGTTCCGATGTCACACCCCGACGACAGCTATATAAAAAGCAACTTTTCCTTTTGAAAACCTAACACTCCGCCTATCTAGACCTATAATTTCTATTACACGCCGTCGCGGGTGGTCGCTGCTTGTCGGCGATCGGTGATCAGCGATTTCTATCTCCTCCGGTAACAACTCTTTCTCCTTCCTGTATAATATAAACTTCATTTACCCACAAGATGTATGTGATATGTAGTTTTACTTTCCTTTTTTTTTTTTGTCAATATATATTATAGTATAATCAAAATTGTCACTATAACATCTGAGACTTGCATTTCGAGTAAAAGTAAGAATTCACTTGTTTCGCTTTTATTTATTTCTTTGCCGTTTAAAGTTATTGCTATTTGTCATTAGAAGTACTGATAGGTTTTCATAAGTAGTCACGTTACTTTGGCAAAGTGATGAGACGTTCATTATTATTTCTCGACTTTTATTTCATATTTGCTCTGCCTCCAATTATATCAAATTAATTTTTTTTTATTTTTTAATTTTTGGAAATGCTTGTGAGACCATTGGCTTGATTTTGTGTGGTTCTAATAAAATGCTCATAAGATTTTTATCTAATTGTTTGGTAGAGTTTGATCAGACATATTGCCATTCAAGAAAGCTGTAATGGGCGGCTGTCCAGCTCCATTTTCAGAAATCGGCAAGCGTGCTAGAGGTGAATCTTAAATCAATTTTTTGTGTTTGAACAACTAGTGTGTCCCTATTTGCATAAAGCTTTTGGGTTTGACCTTTTTTCATGATCCCTAGACAGCAATTTAATCTACATATTGGGGTTTACATGCTTTGCTCCATAGAAGATGTATGTCCATTAACATTTTTGTTCTAGGATATAGAATGGAACGGGTGATATTAGTTGATAGTTCAAGAGTCTATAATATTAAACTAGGAGTAAGCCAAAAAGGATGAAATCAGATTTGGAATATTAATCATGTTGAACATGTTTTCAGCTCAGCATCGTTAAATCCGGCTATTTTTCTCTGGTTTCATTTTTGTATTGTCTACATTTAAGAACCACACACTTCCTTGGCTTTGGTTACATTTTTGTTGTGATGATGCTCCATCACTAATTATGTTTTTATCAGTGGTGCCTAAAATTCCTATATTTTATGTCGTTTTCTAGACAAAGTATATACCATCTTGATTCTGTAGTGTGTGAAGTTTTTGCTTCAGTTTTATCAGTGTGTCAATTTCTAATCTATAAGATTCCCGTTAAGGTTAAAAGGCAAGTTCCACAGAAGAATTACTACAATACAGTGTTTTATGATTGAGTGATGGGCTGTTAAAAGGAAAAATACATCATATAACAAAAATGTAGATGCTAAATAAGAGTGTGGATGCTAGAATGATAAAATAAGAGATGGGAATATGCATCAGTAAGTGGAGGTAACACTAATTGGGATAAATTAAGGGATGAGTGAGGTGGCTGGCACATGTCTTACATAGATCTAAAGAATTTCTTGTTTACAAGAGTGATGTAGTCCAACAAGAACATGTGAGAAGAGATAGAGGTAGACCAAAATTATCATAGCTTCATCTGCTGTATGTGAGTGTTTCGTATTGTTTTCAAAAACAGGCTAATTAGCCTGAAGAAATTTGTTTAAAGAGGAAAACCATATGTAGATTCTTAGCAACTTTAGATATCATATTACCTGTATCATTATCTCTAGATGGTACCGATATGCATGAAATATTACATCTTAAAAGGAAACTAGAAAGAACTAGAATCCAGATTGAGAAAGCTTGAGCACGTATCTGAATGGACTGAAAAATTGTAAAGCTTTCTGAAAAGATTATACCTTTGTATATGGTTCTATTGGATTTCAGGTGGCTAATTAGGTCTGTTTTTGAAAGAAGATTGTATAGCTGGATTTTTATTCATTTTTCATTATTTAAGTAGGTCAGGTTTAGGAACATTAAAAGAGAAGATGCTTCTACCAGACAGAACTTGTTGAATGCCCTGAGATTTTGCTACATTAATTTCCTGAACCCTGTCATTTCTGAAAGCTAGGTAGAATTTATGTTGAGTTCCTATTTTTGATCCTTGAAACTAGCGTGGGTGACGGTCGGATGTATGAATTCTGAGGTCACAAGAATATTGAGCTGATATGTTTGAAATAATGGTTTTCGATAAGTAGCAGCAATGTCCCAGAATATGGCACGTTCCCAATTTTCTCTCAACATTCGTTGGTCCCCAACATCTTAATCACCTTTACTTCTAACTTTTGGTTTTCTAGCTTTGGTTTAGGAGGGGGAAATTCCTGTACTACTGTCATGTTAGTGATACCCGACAAGCTCTCCAAATATGACATTCAAATATTTTTCCTCTTGGAGTATGTGATGTATGTAAATTCATACCTTTGGTTGCCTATATGCTTCCGAATTTTTTATTTGCTCACCCTGATGCTCTTCCACTGCTCTCTCGTGTGTATCTAGTAAGGAATTTCACCTAAAAAAGTTTTAGAAGAGTCTTCTTGATTACTCTTTTCACTTAGTTATCCTTGGTGCATAGTTTGTATTTTTCTTTTCATGATCTTCCATGTAATTCATTTTTTCCCTAAATTTTATGAATAGAAAATGCTTTGTTCTTTTGAATTGTCAAAGAAACAAATTTTCTATACATTTGGAATCATTTATATTTTGGATTGATAACTATTACTAGGGCTAGATGTGGTCCAATTCGATTCGGTTCTAATAAAAATTGAACCGTACCCCGAAATTTTCGGGTATTTGGTAAGTGGAACCGTCGAGTCCAAATTTAATTATGGAACTGTTCGGATTCGGTTCCATTCGATTAAGTTTGGTTCAGTTCCCTGATTCCGTATTATAATTGAAAATTATAATATTTACGAAGTTACATTAATTCAACTAATAATATGTTCAATCTTAGCTCTTACAAAATAACGTAGTCCAATCTTATGTGTTTTTTACGTCTCTCTTTATTGAGTTATTCATAGATTTGATTGTTAAAATCATAAAAAGAGGAAGATAGCAAACTCAAAATAATCAAGAGACATTGAACTTAAATTCGATTTCTCTAGAACGGTAGAAACTGTAATACGGTAGAGTAATAGATTTGGATAAATTTGATTAAATTGGCTTTGAACTGAAAATCAGAAATAGGAAAATTATATTTTTGGGTTTGAACTAAATTAACTAGTTAGCAACTATATTTAGAAAAATAAAATAATTTGGCTTATATAAAATAAATTAATAAAAATTAGGGAGATTCGATCATTCGGTTCTTGATCTAAAATCGAGAACCAAATTGAACATGTCGGTTCTCGATTCAGATACTTGTTTGTATATTTAACTTAGGAAGAATCGCTCATTTCAGTTCTGGTTCGGTTCCGAAGTTTTGTCCAGCCCTAACTATTACTATGCTAAATTGTTCGGTGAAATTATCGTGCTTGTTGTCATGAATATGAACTTGGAGATTTAGATATCATTGTTATAAGGTGATAATCTTAAATAATTGGAGGATTGATCAGTAGCCTTCATTCCCTTTTATTTATTTATTTATTATTACTATTATTTTTTTTTTGCGTAGAGTTTTAATCAAGTGTGTTCCTTATGCAAGATGGAATTGGAATCAAATACTATAGCTCTTGCCATTTTCAGCCCCACTCTTGGGTTGTTAAATAATATTATCGTGCGAGTAAATCCTTTTATGGAGGAGGATGATTGGGACAAAGGACCTCAACTTTGAGAGTGCCGTAATCTATATGGAGGGAGGGAAAAATATGCTTAATTTGTCAAATTCCAAGTCGGTAGCATATCAATGTTGACACTTGAGGATTGTAGAATTGCAAGTGTCTTTTTGGATGTATGTGTAGTTGTTGCTGCTTCTTGTTCGTAGTTATCTGTATCTGTCATAGGTAAGAAATGGTACATGCTTAAGACTTACAGGTCTGAATTAACTAGTTAATAAACTTCTTCATTGAATTAATGTTCTCATCATTATTCACCAAATGCCTCTTGCCTATGGTTGATACTTGGTTAGGACCTGGTGAAGAATTAGCAGTGTGGTCTAACCCTTCAAATTTCATAAGGGCCTGTTTGAGCTCCATTTTTTGGGGTAAAATGTATTTTGGAATAGTAGATTGATGGAGAATATGTAGTTAAAAAAGAAGGAAATTTTTTGGATTTGCGTATAATATTATTTTATTGAAAAATGTATGATTGAAAATAAGAGAAAAAATGTATTTTGAAAATAATGAGAATCAAACAAGGGCTAAATGATTTTCCATCTCCTTGGAAACAGGATGAAAGAATATTTCATAAATGTTTTTCATCTTCACGGAAACCCGATGAAAGAACTTGTCTGAATCTGTTGGAATTCTTTTGTTTCTCTTTTACCTTTTCCAGTCTGACAGTTGCAACAGCTCCTGAATTCTAAGTGTTTGAAGGTGTATTAATTATATATTGCACTTGGCATCTATATTATCTTAATTTTTGTTTTTTGGATTGTAGACTTTCTTTTGATGTATTATAAGACTTCTAGTATGATCAAAATTGGTATTTATCCATATTGATAGTTGAGTGCTTATTTTTGTTACAGATCTTTTGACCAAAGATTATAACTATGATCAGAAGTTCTCCCTTGCAATTCCCAGCTCTACTGGAATGGTATTAGGTTACTGTAAATTACTGTTGGGGCTTTGTGCTTTGTTTATATTCTCAATATTATCATGGTCTACATATGCTCTTAAATACTTTACTTGACATGTGAAATCGAGGAGAAATTCACGTTTCTAATGCATTCGAAATTCTTCTGATATGCCATTGCTTCTTGATAGTTTTTTATTTGATACTTAGAGATGCTAGCCTAAAGAATAGTTAACAGTTTGGAAAAACACAATATTCTACTAGAAAATGACTTTTTTTCCTGCAAGTGAAATACCAATAAAAAAGAGAAAATAATACACACACACACACACACTGGATGATACTCTATTCTGAGATCTACTATGTTGCATAGTGGACAATACTGGACAACTATAGACCTTCTCATGAAGCCCTCCCAAGATTGTTTCTTGGTGGGATTGAGGTGGATTAGGTGCCAATTAGTTTGGCATCAGAATGATTTTCTGAAGATGAGATTTTAGTGAACTTGTGGGGGCTTTTTTTTGGATGCTGATAGAAAAATAAAGAAGAAAATAGGGAAGGAAATGATTTGCTTTCACCCTTGCAGGGTTTAGGCATATTCACACAACATGATTCCAATTTCTGTCCATGGTGAACTCTATTTATGTAAAGATAAATATACAGGTATTTATAGCCTCAAATGATTTATTCGGCAAGAACAAGGACTAGGTCCTAATAGCAAACCCTGACAGCTATGATTATTCTGGACCGCCAAGAATTTTTTCTAAGCACTTTAACAGATATAATTAAAATAAAGTAAGACTTGCAGGATAGATATTTCCTGTGTTGATAAAGTACTAGAAGACGAAATAGCATTGATGCTGAAAATTAGAAATTCTAAAATTCAACCTTTAAAACATAAAACAAAATATTAAGTCCGCTTAAACTCCATCAAAATGGTTCTTGTCTTTTCTGCTCTAAAATACCAGAAACTCCTTGTTTAGTATAGGTTCCACATCAACAGGATAATATTAAAGAAATCCAAAATTATGTCAGCATTCTCCAACTATTATGGCTTCTTATTGTTCAAGCATTTGAATTCCTTGTCTTCATGATACTTTGTCAAGCCATTGGAGATCTTAATCAAATTGTCACTGCGTTATACTTTCCGATCGATATTGTTTTTCCTTCTGAGCCCAAGTAACAGGTCCTTATACAAATACTCTGAAATGTTTTTTCATATGAAAATACAATATATTTTGTGAAAAAATCTTAGAACTGTGTTGTTTATGTTGACCTTTGTTGTATTCTTTTGGCAGGGACTTACAGCTGTTGGTGTAAAGAAAGATAATATATTTGTTGGCGACATAAACAGTCAATATAAAAGTGGAAACACTGCTGTGGATGTGAAAGTTGATACCTATTCTAATGTAAGATGATACTCTTGCCAATAGGACTAAATGAATTGGTCTTTCTGTCCGATTTGTTAGTATGAATTTGTTGTTTGATTAATGGAAGAGTGTCGTTCTCTCCTTAGCACACCAGTAGATTCTTTGTCATCTGAATGCCTATGTCCAATATATCTAAGGCGATATTTTTGCAGGTCACAACCAAAGTAACTCTAACGGATCTCTTACCTTCTACAAAAGCTGCAGTTAGCTTCAGTATTCCCGATCACAAGTCTGGCAAGGTTAGGATTCTGTTCTTCAGCAGTGCTAGTACTAAAAGATACTTGTATTGCAATAATTATGAAGCTTGTTCCTACGTACAATGAATATCTCTCTTCAGTAGGTTTCTCTTTCCAAATGCAAAAGAGAAACCGTTGTAGCCATCCTATATGATTTAAGTTACAATAGAAATGGGAAATTATAAATTAAAAACAGGATGTTGATAAGACTGTGTCACATGATGAGAATTTTCTGAAAGATCGGTGTATTGTTTACTGTTGGCTTTTTGCAAGATTGTATCTCACTATGTTGTACCCTACAAGATCAAGCCATTTTGTTCTGTGCCCTTTGCTTGTCTAAGAAAATGGAAGGGAAAAAATGCGAGTGTTTTATTAAACTTATATAGCCCCTGTTTGTCAGCCATTTTTTCCCATTCTTTCCCATTATTTTTTCTATTTCAATCACACATTCTTCATTAAAATAATATTACACGTAAATCAAAAACTTTTCCTTCTTTTTTAACCACACATTTCAACATCAATCACTATTCCATAATACATTCTTCTCAAATAATAGGTGACACACACACCCATAGTGTTTTTTGAAACCAATAGATCTGCCGAAACATTAAATACATTGTCATTTTTTTATGCATTTTCAGCTCGATATAGAGTATGGTCGTGATGGAGTGGCCATGAACTCAAGTATTGGACTGAATCCAACTCCTCTTTTGGAGCTTGCTGCTGCAATTGGCTGCAGTGATGTAGCTTTTGGTGGTGAAATTGGATTTGATACAGCATCTTCATCTTTCACCAAGTACAATGCTGGAATAAGTTTCAACAAGCCCGATTTTTCTGCAGCTTTAATACTGTATGCATCGTAATTCAAATTGTCAAAATATTGAACTTGTTCTCCTTTTCGTATTTGTTTTATCCATATTGATCTACTTCTATGTTAACCGTCTCTGTTGCACTCATTTTCTTTCATAATTCGATTTGCAATTGCATAGGACGGACAAGGGACAAATCCTGAAAGCTTCATATGTTCACTTAGTGAATCCGTTGAGTGGAACTGAGGTTGCTGCTGAGATGACGCACAGATTTTCTACCTTGGAGAATGGTTTCTGTATTGGAAGTCTCCACAGAGTCGATCCTTTCACGGTGGTGAAGACTAGATTCACTGATAATGGAAAGGTTGCTTTATTAGGCCAGCGGGAATGGAGGCCTAAATCCCTTGTAACAGTTTCGGCAGAGTACGACACAAAGACCACCATTGCCACACTCAAGTTGGGCCTAGCCATTGCTCTCAAGCCCTGAGTTTATTATGGTGCTTCATTAGATAATATAACCTTAAATACAATTTTTTTACAGCCAAAGTGGCTTAAATTTTCGCTATCATTCCCCAAGGACCCGGAAAAATCAGTCCAATTCTTGATCATATTATATGACAGCCACCTTAAAAGAATTTTTGATAAGTTGGAAATTTATTGCTGCATTCCCATGTATGGCAAATAAAACAACGTTTTAGTGTAGGATCTGTTTGGCCCATCTCTTGGAACTCGCAAGTTTCAATTATTATTACTACTTTCGATCCTGGAGTTTTTTTGTGTATGCATTGCCTAATTAATGGTGGTAGTTGAAAAGCAAATTGATTTATTTTGAAATGGAAAATTCCTATTCATAGGTGTCTTTTTTTATTTTTTTATTATTATTATTTATTTATTTTGTGCCAACGGGCAGTGAAACCGCACATTAAATGGGTGTGGGCCCCTCCCCTTATGTGAGGGGAGTGTACACCGAGCCCTTGGTGTACATGTCGGAGGGCCGTTCTGATTAAGGGAAGGTGATCAAGTTTAATGAATTCTTTTGTTACATTTATCACAACAACATGCATTAACTGTCCTGTCTACCAACAGCTACCACTGCTTTTTATACACCACTAATTCTATTCTTATCCCCAAATTTTCACACAGTGACGGACAAAAAATGTCTCGTAACCATAGCGATATTGACAAGATTCACTCGACCTCGCAATCGGACATTGACGAGATCGAGAACCTCATCTACTCCCAACCCTCCCACGTCCGCCCGGCGCACAACTCAATCGCCTCCACTTACCCTCAGCCCCCGCCTCCCTCTTTTATCCCCTCCAATCTCCCTCCACCCACCAATCTGAAGCCGAACCCGGTCCCTTCAGTCCCCTCCACAGTCCCACAACTCTCTCCTCGCTCTTCCGAGTCTGGTGGTCGTATTTCAGTAACCGGCTTTGGGCCGCCTCCAAACAGACTAACGGAACCAGTTTGGAATACTGTTAAGAGAGACTTGTCCAGGATCATCAGCAATTTGAAGCTGGTGGTTTTCCCGAATCCTAATAGGGAGGATCCTGGAAAGGCTTTGAGAGATTGGGATCTCTGGGGGCCCTTCTTCTTCATTGTTTTCCTCGGTCTCACTCTTTCCTGGTCTGCCTCCGTTAAAAAGGTGTTGCAGCTTGTATGATAGTATGATTAACATTTTATTGCAATATTAAACCCAGTCATCTGAATTCTTATCTTGCACTGACAGTATATTGTCATAAAACTTGGAGACCCAAAAGCTAGCCATTGAGCTTGGAAAACCCAAGCTATATAAACCACGTAAAGGAAGGCCATGCTTTCAACGTGGGATTCAGGTGCCCATACACTCCAATGTGAACCATGACAAACTCGGCGTCCGTGTCGAGCAGGTGTTCATACACCCTAAGTGGTAACCGAGACCAGAAGACCTGATGCCTATGCTAGATTCTAAAAGCTAACCACTGAGGTTGAAGAATCCAAATTTATATAAACCACGCAAAGGAAGCCCATACTTCCGATGTGGGATTTAGGTGCCCATTCACCCCAATGGGAACCATGACAATATTTGTACTATGTTATTGTGTCTAGGCTTTTAACATGATGTCCTTGTAATTGGGTTTGTGTGGATTGAATTGCATTCATCCCAGGGGTTTTTTCAAATAGATTTGTGCAATATTTTACTAGTAATGTGAGTTACATTTCATGACAGCGAAAGCTTAGACAGAAGTGAGAAGTCAAATTTTCTGGAAACATATCTGACTGACTGTATTTGTTGAATTATGTAAGCTAACAGATATTAAACAGAGGCTGGTGGTTGGTACTGAAAGAATGCGAAAGAAAAATAAGAATGCTAGTAAACATGGAACAGAAATATGAAACTTGGTATAATAGTCTGTTTAGTTAGTTGTATTTATTATGTGTTGCTAACATCATATGGTTGGATGATTTCTATTAACGGTTGACTGAATTAGGTCTTACAGAAATCTCCTGGATCATTAGGCTATGTTTTGTTAAGAAGTCAGATTCTTGTCGGTTGATCAAGCTTGTGAAAAGTGTTCGAATTTGATGCACAGTAGAAATTTCGTCACCTTTTATGATTATATGTAGTTCGTGGATCCAGTTTGTTAAAAATTGTGTGCATGGCATACTAGTCCTGATATAGGGATGGCAATGGACCGAACCGACTGCACACATACTAGTCCTGATGTAGGGATGGTAATGGGCCGAACCGAGCCGGCTCGGCCCTTTAACCCACGAGCTCGGCTCGGGGCTCGTGGCGAGCCAAGCTCATGAAAGACGAGCCGAGCTTGAGCTCTGCTCGTTGCTCGGCTCGTGGGATTGAGCCGTCGACGAGCCGCTCGGCCCTTTTGACATCCCTATCCTGATGTCTAGCTAATCCTTGTTGGATGGAAACGTAGTTCGTAATTCATCATTTATCGAGCTTTGTAGAGCTCGTTAGAGAAGTTTTTTGAATGACATGCTGAGAGGGAGCAAATGATTGAATGGAAGCATGGGCATCTATATTTTAAGTTGGTTTTTGTTCTTCAGCTTAATTTTATTGGGAGATTGGGAGACAGCAAAGGGTTTTTGATTTTGTAACAGTCTTGAATTCTTTAGAAAAGTCAAAAAAAATTGGGAACGTTTACGGCTAAAATGAACACAACCGGGAAAACTCAATGATTGTTTTAGAAGTCATGTGTGTTCTATTGTCTCAATTTGCAACCATAATTATAGAGTTTAATACATAGTCCACTTTATAGTTAGCAAATTCGATAGAATATATAAAGCCAAGGTTCAAGTCGATAGACACTTAAGCCTACATGATTTCTACCAAACTCTAGAATAATATTTATTTTTATCTTTTTCTTTCATATAGGGATTGTTTGGTATTTATACAATAAATATAATATGCGAAAGAAATAACTAATTTAGATGAAGTGTCTAATTGGTGAAAGGTGTGGAATTTGTGTGGGAGGTTGACAGTTCAGGTCAAATCCCTCGCAATAATCAAAAAAAATTTTATTGGGGGCCTCGGGCTCTTAGTCTTCCTTCATTAAAATAATTATTTTTTTAATTATTTTTGGAATTATATAATGCGTCAAATTAGCCAGTATAATATGGCCATTTTTCAACAATCCATTGCCTACCAGCTATTAAATGTTGCAAATATTTCTGTATCATGGTGGATGCAATTATATCCATTCTACCTATATAAACACACATCTTGTTTTGAAAAAATTACATCAGTAAATGAAATCATTATTTTCATATTTTGTAATTTTTCACACTTGATTTTTTATACTAATATATATTTTTTGGAGTATACGTGAGAGTTCTAAAACCATTTGTGATTGCTGCACAAGTGATCTGTTTGATCGTTGTATCTTGGAAGTAATTGTCCACAGAGGTTGCAATAATT